GTTTAGGGTTTCGGGTTAGTTTAGGGTTTAGTTTTGGGTTTAGTTTAGGGTGTAGGGTTTCGAGGGCTGCAGCAAATATTATAAGTGGAAACAGGGAGACATGATCAGAAAACTATGAAACTGTCATAACTAAAACAGGGTCGGTTTGATAGGGTCGCTAGAGGGTTCTATCGTATTGTCGAATATCCTGTAGGGTTTCGCATTCAGGGCCCCACTATCAGTGATTAGAATAGGGCTTCAGGGTATGTACTGTTTTTGTGAGGTTGTAATGGGGAGACGGACCCCCATCATGCTATGATAGGAGGTGAGGCGGTGCATCCACCTGCTAGTGAGATGATGGCTCTGATTCCAATATAACGATAAAACTGCGCCTCAAGAGGAGTTGAGACCTCAACGGCATTTCTTGCAATCTATGTTTTTACTTGAAGTCTAAGGTCTTCTCACCCTGCATGCACTGGGGGGAGGCAAGAGACCTTGACGTTGATCTACAGATCTTCCGATGCTTCGATAGTTTCGCTAAAGTCCTAAAGCTTAAACCATACCACTAAACCCTAAACCCTACACTGTAAATCATGCCCGTGCATCACGTCCGAACATAGGGGCCGACCACGTCCACTGGTAGCCCCACTGGCAGTCGGCGCTGGCGCAACCTCTGGATGGCTTTCGAAATGAGGTGGTGACTCCTAAAGTTGTGGTATAGGGGTAACGTAGGGGCCTTAATAATTAGAAAAGGGTTTCGGGGTATACTATGCTATCAATCAATATATATATATATATATATATGATAAGCACCGCCCAAAAAAAACAGTATAGGTAATTATTAAGGCCCCTAGAGCCCTTAATACCTAAGTCCTAAGCGGCCCTAAACAAAGCCTAAACCCTAAACCCCACTCGCGGGCTTCTGCTACGCAGCTTGACGCAAGGCTTGAAATTTCCAGAACGCGCGCTTTTTCTCGGCAGGCGCAGCAAAGACGGTTTAGGGTTTAGGGTTTAGGGTTGAGGGTTGAGGGGAATCTCGCTCTCGCCGCGGCCTGTCTGCATCCAGCAGCTGAAGAAGCGCCGATCCTCGCGACATTCGACTGCTGCGCTGTTTGCTGCGGGGCAGCGGCCCAGTCACCACTCGTGAGCCCAGAGACTCCAAAACCCCTTAATTAAGGAATATACCCTAAATTATAATAGGATCCCTAATATGATTTCAGGTATATTCCTTAATTAAGGGGTTTTGGAGTCTCTGGGAGGGTCTGCAGCGACATCTCCCGGTCATTCGCGAGATCACTGCCTCAGTGCATGACCGAGCACGAAACGGCACAAAGGCACCCGAAATCCGGAACCTGAAACCCTGATACCTATCCTAAACCCGAAGCAAACATCGCCGGGGATGCTGGGAGACGAAGTTGATGTCGAATTCCGTCGCAGCCGAGCGATGCGCCGAAGACAGCTTTGCTACCGCCCTCGCTTCAAGCGCTTTAACTCATTCTTGTTCTGCTGTGCCTGCAGGGACCGGCATCGTACATTGCGGCAGGCAATTGGAGAGGGCTTAGCCAAGTCTAGTGTTTTGGGCGTGTGCAACGGTTGCAAAAGGGCAGACACTGCATTCTCCAGGTCAGCAGAGATTCAAAATGTGACTCTGTCGCGCTGCCTTGCCTCCGTCTTGCTACATGTGTACATTGTGCCCTTTCGCTTTGTGCATGCATGCATCGTGAAAGGAGGGACTGTTTTGGGCGCTCTCAACCTCAGAATTCATGACAGAGGCTTGCCTAGCTCCATCCTGAAGCACCAGACCTCTAAACCATAAACCATAAACCCTAAAGCACCAGACCTCTACACCTCTAAACCCTAGACCTCTAAACCCTAAACTCTAGACATCTAAACCTTGGACCTTTAAACCCCACGGTTCAAAATCAACCCTAAACCCTAAACCCTAAACCGTACCGAACCCTAAACCCTAAACCCTAAACCCTAAACCCTAAACCCTAAATCCTAAACCCTAAACTCTAAACCCTAAACACCTAAACCCTAAACCCTAAACCCTAAACAGAGCCTACTTCATCAGAGCCTTCGGGGAGGGTTTAGGGTTTAGGGCTTCGGGTTTAGGGTTTAGGGTTTAGGGTTTAGAGCTTAGGGTT